AATTTAAATAATGAACAAATAACGGCATTAGAGTTACCTCTCTCAATAGTGGAACTTCATGATGCACTACAATGTACAGGAAAGCCCCAAGTCCAGATGGATTTCCAGCAGAATTCTATAAAGCATTTTGGCCTCTGCTAGCACCACTATTCCATAGAATGGTTATAGAAATTAAAGAATTCCTCCAAATATGAATTGTGTAGATATTAACTTGCTCCTCAAACCTGACAAAGACCCTGCTCTCCCCTCTAGCTATCAATCAATATCACTCATTAATGCGGATCTTAAAATCATCAGCAAGGCACAGGCTAGTCGGGGGGTGGGGCCTCTGGGTTTTGCCTGCGCCGCTGCACTGGGGTGGGTGGGTTTGGTGCGTGGGCTCTGTCGGCTGGGGCCGCAGCCCCAGCTCCCGGGCGGGTGGTTGCCCGTATGCGGTGGGGTCCCACATAGCAAAATTGGTATGGCCCCGATCTGGCCCACACTATGCGCTTACACCCGGCCCACATACCGCAATGAATGACGGCCCCTTGATGGCCCAGATCTGGTTTGCCAGAGATGGCCCACACATGGGCCAGCACAAAGTCAGATGCAGACATGTTGGTGGCCCTGTTCTGGCCCAGAACAGTTTCAGCTCGGGCACCAAATGTCAGCCTATGTGTACCTTAATCAAGTCATGTAATACCTGCTTAATATTAATTTAATATTCATTGAAATATTAAGTTACCTCATCATTCAAATAAAGTTTATATGAGTTAATAAATATTAACACTGTAAAAGCAACACTCACTGCACACTGTAAAGTATTATAGGTAACACTGAATGGTGTGGACCCATATAGACACCATTAACACTGGCACATTTGCTGTGTAACATGTTTTAGAACAATTTTACCCAGAGTAGCTATGGTCTGCTAGGGCGGTGCTATGCTAACTGATGCGAATTGTGGTCCCGCCATTTTTCATTAAGCTCCACAGCTAAATTACTTGAACAGAAGACACACGTTCCAATTTGACAAGTATTATCTTCGGGGAAGCATGGCAAGACAGCATGACACAAGGGGTTTTCTAGTTGCATTTTACAAATGCAATACTACTTAGATACTGTATACATATTGTATATAGTGTATAGTACTGTGTATAGTATTGTGTTGTACAATATAGATGTATTGAAATAGATTGACTGTACTCATATTTTAACCCTGCTGATCATACACAAATATAATGCACACAATTACATTCCACTATTCAAATTGTTTTCTACTTGACTGCTTTTGCAACATTTGCACAATTTCTGGATGTCTAAAATACCTATTGTATGCTTTTTGTGTTTAGAGTTGATATTTGTAATTTATTTATAAAAATTCTTGTAGTCAACCAACTGGGGTCATGTGTTCTGTGTGGCTCACTGGGCTAATCCTGTGTGCCTACAGGTAATCACAAGGTCACCAGTTCAAACCCAGCCTCTACATGTCTGTGGGTCCTTGAGCAAGGCCCTTAACTCCTAGCTCCCTGGGTGCAGCCATGAGTG